GCTGAGTCAACCCTGAGCCGGTGAGATTTGAACCGCTGACCTGCTGATCTAGCAGTAGCCTGCAGTGCTGCTTTTAACCACTGCGCCACCTTGGTGAGTGAAAATGGGCCAGTTTTGCTTGTTTTTGCCCCCCAGCCCCCAGGAGCACTCTGGAAGCCTCCTAAAGGCTATGCATGCCCTTTTTTGACGGAAAATGGGCCCATTTTTGTGAAAAAACGGGCCATTTTTGGGAGGTCTGCAGAGTGCAAAAACTTTTTTAAAAATTTGCCTCTTCAAAATCTTGGTGCATCTTATACTCTGAAAAATATGGTACTTCTTTTCTTTTTACCATCTATACAATCCAAGCTTCTGTTCTAGTGTTCTTAGACAATAAGTTGAGGATTGGGAAAGGAAGAGGGTGAGAAGACGACAGCAAGAAATGACCGTGATCTGGTGATGTTTTCAGTTTGGTTGGGCAACAATACTTGATAAATGCTTGTGGCCAGCACTCTGTTGATTAGCAGACTTCCTTTATGAAAATAGGAGCTGTGTAAACTATTTTTTCTATCAGTTTGTCTCATCTGATTGTCTTTCCTTAGTTGTTGCAAAGTATGATCTGACATGAAAGAAAGCAAGGTATGGCCCAGATCATAGCTGTTGCTATGAGTATTACTGATCTGAGAAACAAAAATTCATGAATTACCCTACTCTTATGAGTGAATAAGGAAAACAGAAAATGAAGTGAAAATATATAATTATGAATTACAATTTTAAAGCTGTATACATTAGATATAGAATGAATATCTCAATTTTCTTCACAAAACTGCCAACATTTTCAGATGCACAGCTTGATGACTTCATCCTTTGAGAAAGTCAGTGTAAAAGAAAGTAGATGTAGAGAGGCCTGGATGACATAACTTGAAGTGGTATCACTTAGAACATCAAGATCGAGTCTCTCTAGTTTTAGAGAGCTTGCAGGAAAGTACATTATGATGGAACATTAGACAATCTTTTTTATCAGTACCTGCAATACCATCAATTAATGGGTTTTGGTAGAGGCTTCATCACTGAATGGGTTAGCCATTTATCTGAGATGCTTTACCTGGTTTCTTGCACCGAGTTGGCAGTTGAACCCAATGGCTAAATGCCCTTTCCCATCTATTATTAAGTATGTCCCATTTCTTATTATTAATAAATCTTATTCTTAGTATTGATTATTAATATTCTTATCATTAATTATTATTTCTAATTCATGTTATTAATAATTAAAATAATTAATTGTTAATTATCATTATTCTTATTATTAAACACATCATATCTTTTCTTCTTCTCTAGGGACCATTGCCTGTCACCTAGATTATGACAACTTTTCCCAAACATACTTTCCAATATTGGGTATATTGTAATCCAGAAAACATCTAGAGGGCACCTTATTGAGGATATTGCCATTGATACACATCACTTGAAAATTATTTGTTTTGTGAATCTTTCATTCAGAATAATTTATTTGGTCTTAACAGAAATTATTTCAGTTGACCCAGATTGTTAGTTTTAACCATAAAAATTCCAGAATTAAGTAACAGTTGCAGTGGATTTGTTTAAGCAACCCAAATGAAGGAGGTAGGGAAAAGGAAAAATAAATCATAAAACTTACTTATTGTGACCTCAAAACCCATTTTGCTGATTGCAGAAAATATGTACAGCTAGGACAAATACAAATAGCAGAGTTAGTTCAAACCATTCGGTAATAAATCAAGCTGTCTTGGCTAGATGTCAATTACAAAATTAGCATTATTTTTCATTCTAGAATTCTATTTTCATTTGTCATTATTCAAAATTGCAGAAATGGGTATAGTTTGCTCTAAATAAAGAAAAATGCTTAAATGCGCACTAGGATACAAAAATGCAAATATATTTCATTAAGCCTGCTTTTGCTTATACATTATACCATATTTTTAGGAGTATGAGAAACACTTTTCCCCCCTAAAAGAGGGTGAAAATTTGGGTGCATCTTATACACTGAATTTAGCTCCGCCCACCCACCGGCCCCCACCCTTCAGCTATTTTCGGCCTCGCGAGTTGCATTTTAGACCTCTGCCTAGACTCTTGCCCTCTGTGCCTTGTGTTTTCAGCCTCCAAATGCTTGTTTCAGACCCATTCTAGGCTGCAGGGATCGCCAGAGCANAATGAAAAATAAAAATATATTGGTAACAGTTTAAATATATTCAAGTGCCATAATATATCCCAAGAAAGCAGGTACACATGTCTAAATACATTTTTGAACTACAATAAAGAGAAAAAAATTATTGGATTATTTGGAATCATACTGAACTATTTTGCATCCCATCTTGTGTCTAGTATTAAAGTAGAGGAATCTCAGGTCATCTCATATATCTGATATTAAGCTATATAAAAGGAAAACTCCCTTTGAGGCAGAATTTATTTTGTGGTTTTTTTTAATGTATTTCTTCTCCTAATAAAGGATTGTTCTAATATATTTCAAAATGAAGTACAAATAACAGATTGTATGTTTTATTGTTACAAATACTTTTTAAAATTGAAGTTTTTCTTTTAGCAAATGGTACTTTATATAATTGGAAATTATCACACTTTTGTTTAACTTACAAAAATAACTTAATTCATCACATCTACTAAATCAAATTCTGAGTAATGTTTGTCTGTTATTATGCTTTATTTACTATTTTTTAACACCACCATTCAAAAAGGACTCAGAGGAGTAAACTTGTGACTCACTGAATTTTTAACAGTGTACCTGGAAAACGTTTGGCCATATTAAACTCTAAAATATGATTTACGGCAATATTTTATATGACCAGCCTTACAGAATTCTTTAAACTAGGACACTTACCTACATTAGTGATGTATAGTGGTAGCCAGAAAAGAAAAGTGTAGCTGACTAATTTGGCAAATAATAGGCAGAGAGAGAATTCTACCACTCCCTACAAAGAATGGAAAATAAGATTAATTTGAAAAGAAAAAAACAATAAGCATTTTACTTTGAGATAATTTTTGTGCAAGGATTTCTGTACATCATATGTGTCCACTATTATACAGATATAGTTGAATGATAATATAGGATCATACATAAACAGCCTATATTTGAGGGGTAACCACTGATTCAAAGCAAACAGCATGGTCTGCAGTCACATACTCTCTGTAAGATTGACCAATAAAATTTATTTCAATATATGGGATAATGGATCCATCAGAAGGTTCCATAGGAAATCAACGAATAAGGTAACATCCAATAAAACTCTTTTGCAATCATGTAAGAGTGACTGTGATCTTGCAATTCTTTTGAACTTGGGGGGGGGGGAGAGGAGGAATCTTCTTGCATAATCTATTCTAATCTCTCCTCTCCGTTAAGTGCACAACCTTTTTTGCTCCTTGAATGTTATGCTAGCTAGAGGGTTTCCTTCTCTGGAGTAATATCCACTAATATACAAAGCCATACATTAACAACAAACCTGATGGCTTTCTAGGGATCAGTAGGATTGATTCAGATTTCAGTTTCATTAAATCTTCTCCTTTCAAAGGAATTATTGTTAAATTGTCAAATTCATAGTGTGATGAATAAAATCAGGGGCTTTCAATTGGATTTGAAGATCCAGCAGCCTTTTGCTGTGTACACATACTTTGATACAGTAGAACTGAATCTTGAAATCGAAAAGATTCAAGTCTGATTGTAAATTCAAATTAGAAATTGGTTGATTTGCATACTTCTAATGGTTTTATTCCCATAGTCCCCACATTCAAATTAGAATTTGGCTGAGGTGCATATTTCCAATGATCCCCTACTACCATTACTAGAGAAGCTGGCATACTCACAGGTATTTGCAAAGCACCAGTGAAACTTATAGCAGCATTTCCATTTTCAAAGTGTTTGTATCCTCCATTAAGATTCCATGGCTTTGTGCAATTCTCATTGCTTCCTAGCAGACAATGCATTTCTGGATCCTATAAAAGACCACATCAAACTCAGCATAGGCAGTATTTCTCTTCTCTTTATAAACCAAGCAACTGAAATATTGTAATGTACAGTAACAAAATAATAATGATATATTGATATGCTATTTATATACGGATACTGAGCTCAGAGCACAGCTATGGAGTAGAAGGCAGTGCTTCAGAGTAACTATTATGATTTAATTAAGAGGGAGGAATAGGAGTTTCTCTATTTTTCATTCCATATATTATGGACTTTCTGTGTGGAGTTTGCAAAAAGATAAATTGTATCCTTAGCTTTCACTTAAAAAGTCTTAAAGGCCTAATTGTCAATTACTTTTGCAAGGCCACATGGAGCACAGAGTCAAAATGGCGCTTCAGAATTTAAACTGACCAGAATGAACAAAGTTGCTTCCTGCAAAGGCTCATGTGCCTTTGCTCCTTCTTTATGTCTTACGGGAGGGGCCAATCATCTCCAAGCCTTACTCCTGAGTCACTCCATTTATCTTAAATGTTCTTGCCTT